CATACTTACAAATTGTGGACAGTGCCTTCAATAGGGCACACTTTCAATTTCCCCAGGAGGTAGAGAAGATAAAACTCAACACCTTGGTTAGATGCTTCAATCTTGAGGTCTACATTTACCTTCAAATGTAAAGGTTCCCCTGGCACATACATGCTGGTCGTTTCTGTCTCTAGAGGGGGTACTCATCTCCATTACAAAGCTGAAGAGCCAGAACTGTCCGAAGACGTCTCCGTGGTCATGTGGCTAGCATGACTAAACGCCAAAGGCACACGGAACGTTGTTACCTTCCCACCAAAGGGGTCCCCATTTTTCTACTTGCATTTTTTATGTGCTTTCGAACTGCTAGGTTGGCAGAAGTTGGGAGAAGTAATGGGAGCTCACTCCATTACGTGGTGCTAGGGATTCGAACCACCGAACTGCCGACCTTTCTGGTCGACAAGCTCAGCATCTTAGCTACTGAGTCAGTCTCAAAATAGAGATTGTTTGGCTAGAATACAGTGGTTACCCAGTGTCAGATGCAGGTAGCATTTAGGGACAAAAAATGTTTATCGTCTTTACTCTGCCTCTACCTCCTCCCCCCAACAACACGGCATACATAATGTTTTTTAAGGAATACATTTGTGATTTCAACGGGCCTCATATCCTGGCTCAGTGGTGGAATTCAATTTTTTTTACTACCGGTTATGTGGGAGTGGCTTGGTGGGCATGGCTTGGTAGGTGTGGCAGGGGAAGGTTACTGCAAAATCCCTATCTCTTCCCACCCCACTAACCTACTTTCCAGCTCTGTTCTCCTGTGCAGGGCAACCAAAGAAGACCCAGCCGATCATCTGGGACTCAATGGGAGGCAGAGAATAGATGGGGGCAGGGCCAATCAGAGGAGATATTTTCCGGTTCTCCGAACTACTCAAAATTTCTGCTACCGGTTCTCCAAAACTAGTCAGAACCTGATGAATACCACCTCTGTCCTGGTTATGGCATGAGTAGCTTTCCCAAAACCAATGGTGATTGGCTAGGTGAGGATGGTGGGAGCTGTAGTTTGACACATTTGGAAGGTCCAGGTGGAGGCAGGTGGCTTGTGAACAGGTGCCAGGACCCCAAAGCAAAGCAATTCTGCAGATGTGGCTTAGTTACACGATGGCAACCATCCAGCCAGGCCTTGTAGCACATGCCAAGCCCATGTTGACTGGCTTTACCATTTCTGTTCCCCAGACTGAGCTCACTAAGCATGATCTATGAGCCCTATTGAGCAGATGGGATACGTTTTTTTTTATAAATCTCGGGTTGGTTTAATCCAACCCTACGAAGAGTCTGGTGCTATTGTGGGAGTGAAGCTCGTAAGGCCTGGGGCAAAGCTGTGTCTCTTCACGTAGCCTTGCCAATTTGCAACGAGGGACATTAAAATAAAAAAAATGTTGACAGGTCCAAGTGCCTAATTTCTCCCTGGAAAGATGGGCAAAGGAATTGTTTCTTCAGTGATAAGACGAAGGGATCCTTGCACCCTGACCACTCCTGGCACGGAGAGAGAGAGAGAGTTGTGTCAGTCACCCACTGCGCGTCCTGGGAGTTGTCGACAAAGAGGCAGTTGTGATGGGCCATGAGTCAATTGACAAGAACCGTGTGCACCGGGTGGGTGATTCAGTGATTCATTGTAAAGACAAAGGCTGCAGGGAACGTTCATTCTGGCTGCGAAGGCCTTACACTTCGGAGCAGAGAAAGGGTTTATTGTCCTCGTCGGAGTATAAATATTTCTATATGTTGGGAGGGTGGCACTGAATATTTCATTGGCCCTTGGGCATTTTATTGTGAATTATCACATCCTCCAGCTGCCCAAACATTTACCTCTAACCCTTATTTGTAAACATGGAGTAGCCATAGAAACAGGGATGCATTGCCCCAAGTCAAGTCTTCTTAACCATGATTAGCAGAAATGAAATGCAACAGTATGCATCTACACCCGTGATGGCGAACCTATGGCATGCATGCCACGGGTGGCACACAGAGCCATTTGTACAGGCACGTGAGCCCCAGCCAAACTTACCTCACTACTGGAAGTGACAAAACAGGCCTGTTTTTGGCCTCCAAAGGCTGCAAAGGCTTCCGTCAAGCCTCTGGGAGGCCAAAAAAGGCCTCAAATGGGCAGAAAATGAGCTGGGAGGTGCGCACATGTGCAGTGCAGGTAAGGGGGCAGCCCCCCCCCACGCATTACTTTCTGGGTGGTGGTGCGTGCGTGCGTGCACACATGCAAACAATTTTTGGCACAGGAGCCAAAAAGATTAGCCACCACTGATCTACACTATACTTTGTCATAAACCATGCTGGTTGGATTTGTACAATACTCTAAATAAAGAAGAAGAAACTTGCATTATACATCTTCATCCAATCATCATTTTCTTTTAATGACCCCATAATCCCTTGTGGAGTGGAGTCTGGGCAATTGAATGGAGTTGAGTGTTTACTGGCCGGATGTCCTTCCTGTCACCAATGTGGAGTTTTATTTAGCAGATATATTCTCATTGTGCCCAGAGAGAGAAAATCTACCTCTCACCTAGGAATCAAACTCACAGCCTCCCTCTAGGCCAGAGGTCTCCAACCTTGGCCACTTTAAGACTTCTGGACTTCAACTCCCAGAATTCTTCAGCCAGCAAAGCTGGCTGAGGAATTCTGGGAGTTGAAGTCCACAAGTCTTAAAGTGGCCAAGGTTGGAGACCCCCGCAACACTCATACATCTTCATCCAATACTGTATGTGAATTCAATGAAAGCCTAGGATGAAGAGAGCCAGTGTTTCATTGGAGAAATATGGGCCTCATTGGGGACAGGAGTTGAAATGTTAGCTTATTCGATGCCTTTGGGTGGACAGGTAACACTTCTCATTGACCTATTTGGCTAAATTACATCAAACATATAAATATTCTCAAGAGCCATACTGGCACAGCAGTTAGAATGCAGTATTGCAGGATAATTCTGGCCACAGCCAGGAGTTCGATTCTGAGAGGCTCAAAGCTGTCTCAGATTCCATCCTTCCGAGGTGGGTAAAATGAGGAGCCAAGTTGTTGGGGAAATTATGCTGAGTCTATAAACCGCTGAGACAGGGCTGTAAAACACTGTGTGAAGCAGTATATAAGTACTATTGCCCTTCTAAGGATGATATTTGAAAGAGGGGAAATGTAGGAGGGGAAATGCAAGAGGATGTTACTTAAAATATTTTCTCCTAGTCAAATACTTTTGTACGTTAACATTTTTAAATTTGTATTCATTAAGAAAATTTACGTGGCTGCCCAACTCAGTCGTGGTGATTCCAGGCGGTTTATAGAAGTAAAGCACTCAAAGTAGCTGAATGAAACCATAATGAGTTCATTAAGCTAATCCAAACAAGCCATTTGCCGGCTTCACCTGATTATCCCCATCTTCTTGACACGTACAAAACTAGTACAGATTTTTATAAAAAATCATTTTAAAAAAAAATTAGGATTGCATTATTATTCCAAATGGGATGCAAACAATCAGAGTGGCTCATCTGGAAACCGCTTTCTAGGATTATCCGAGGATTTAACAGCCACTAATAAGGAGTGAATTTTGGTGGGTATAAAATAGCCTTCATCTTCATATTCTTTTTGCATTGCAACCCAAAATAAAGAGCGCATCTTATGCCACAGTGACTCCTAGTGTCACACTGGTGCATTGTAGCCAATAGACACTGCCCAATTTGGCACCGAACCAGGGTTTTTTTTTGAGGGAGGGGGGAGAAATGTAATGTTTTTAAGAAGCCTTGATCTATATTCTGAGAGAGAAAGAGAGCCCAATCCAACCCAGCGATCCTGATTGATCTGCTATAGATCAGGGGGCTCCAACCTTGGCAACTTTAAGACTTTTGGACCAACTCCCAGAATTTCTCAGAAGCTGGCTGAGGAATTCTGGGAGTTGAAGTCCACAAGTCTTAAAGTTGCCATGGTTGGAGACCCCTGCTATAGATCAATCCGCAGCTCATTGGCTGTAGAAGATTCACCGTAAATATGCCTTAGGACAGGGGTGTCAACCTTGATTTCATTGAGGGCCACATCAGGGTTGTGTTTGACATCGGGGTGGGTGGGGTGGGCGTGGCCAGCGGGTGTGGCCAGCTTGACATCACTCATGTCGGGGGTGCCTGTGGTGGCCCGAGCACTCTGCCAGCGAAAATGAGCTCCCGAGCTCTGTTTTCAGCTGCAATGACCTCCTGCAACCCTCTGCCAGTAAAAAACAGAGCTCCATTTTCGGTGGCAGAGGCACTGCAGTCCAGTCCTTCGCTGTTTCCAGGTTGGGCCCATAGGCCAGGTCTAAGCACCCTGTAGGCCAGGTGCGGCCTGAGGGACTTGAGTTTGACACCCCTGCCTTAGGAGGTCCTTAGGTGGGACACCAGGCGTGATATGCAGAGTGATGGAAATTGTGCATTGCCTTCTGTGTGTGATGCTGCATAACAGTGGTGGGTTTCAAAAAATTTTACTAACTGGTTCTGTGTGCATGGCTTGGTGGGCGTGGCATGGCTTGGTGGGCGTGGCAGGGGAAGGATACTGCAAAATCCCCATTCCCAACCCACTCCTGGGGGAAGGTTACTGCAAAATCCCCATTCCCTTCCCACCCCACTAATCTACTTTGCAGCTCCGTTTTCCTGTGCAGGGCAACAAAAGAAGAGCCAGCTGATCAGCTGAGACTTGGGAGGCAGAGAATAGATGGGGGCAGGGCCAGTCAGAGCTGGTATTTGCCGGTTCCCCAAACTACTCAAAATTTCCCCTGCCAGTTCTCCAGAACTGGTCAGAATCTGCTGAATACCACCTCTGATAGAGAAGTGCTGCATCCAACCCTTGTGCCAGCAATTTATGAGTTGACATCCTGCTGACCTTAAACCTCCCTTTTATGTAAAGCCCAGGCGTTACCTGAATGTATACTGTGGTCAGTCAATATCTTTATTAATCAGCAATCCACACCTTCTTTCCTAAGGTGTCCACCAAAGTTCACACGCCATCTTCTAGACCACTGTTGTTTCTGGTTTCCTCCTGCAGGACTCGATTATGCTGAGAAACATCAGGAACACCAGGAATATGGAGAGGCCCACCACCAAGGCCTCAATGATGGAGTATGTGTGAGCCAGCTCCCCTGGTGGGTTCACTGCATTAGGAGAGGTAACTAAAAACTTGCCCGCTAAATGTCCATTCACGAAACACTGGTAGAAAATGCTGTGTGAATCGTTCTGGAAGGAAAGGTGTAGGATCCCACCACCAGTGGCTTTGTCCAGGCTTTGGGTATTTCTGGAGAAGCTGGAGTTCTTCTGGAGAAGTTGAAGGTGTGTCAACGTTGTGAGACCTACCTGCCAGTAGACGGGGCTGATGAAGGCAAGAGACAAGGTCATTCATACAAGATGAGGAATCAGACATCAATCCCAAAAGTGTATGAATAAAAAGCAAAGAAATTGAAGCCAACAGAGGCCATAATTTTTTTTAAGGCCCAGATTGCTATAGCTTGGGATCTTCTAAGGCTAAATCATGGTTTGTTGACCAAACTGCAATGGACAGGACTCAAACATCAGGCAAATCTAATGGTTTCCAAGCCATGAGACTTTGGTTCATATAACACTCCTAAGTACTAATCACCTAACCACATTGAGGTTGAATGCAATGTGTGAACCCAGCTTCATCTCAGAAGAGGCTTTTTGTACAATGGGTGAGACAAGAGGAAATGCCTCTTCACAGAGGGCTCTGCTGTCTGCAATTTTAAAGAGTTTCTATATTAAAATATTCTAAAAATGAATTAGTCTGCCCAACTACTCCAGATATCTTTTCAGTATAGTAATAGTAATATTTACATATCATTATAAGGCAGAGGTGACTAACGTTTTTGGGTTCCTGTGCCAAAAATTATGTGCGCACTGGCGCTCATGCGCTTGCGTGCCAGCACCCAGAAGGCAATACGCGCACTCCACACACCCTGCGCATGCGGGTGCATTCCCCCTGCCCCCCCTTTACCTGCACTGTGCCTCACAGCTGATTTTTTAGCTGGTTTTACAGGAAGTGACGAAATGGGCCTATTCAGCCTGCAGAGGCTTTTTTCAAGCCTCTGGGAGGCCGAAAAAGGCCTCAAACCAGGCCTCCCAGCAGATTTTCGGCTGGGTTGAGGCCTTTTTTGGCCTCCCAGAGGCTTGAAAAAGGCCTCTGCAGGCCGAATAGACCCATTTCATCACTTCCAGTATTAACAGGAAGTGATGAAACAGGCCGATTTGGCCTGCAAAGGCCTTCCTCAAGCCTCTGGGAGGCTGCAAAAGGCCTCAAACCAGCTGAAAATCAGCTGAGGCGCACGCACATGTGCAGGGAGGTGAGTTTGCCTGCAGCTTGCATGCTGGCACAAATGGCTATGCATGCCACCTGTGGCACGCATGCCATAGGTTTGCCATCATGATTATAAGGTATAAGATATTGGATAGCCATTTGTCTGAAATGGTGTATGGTTTCCTGCTTGAGCAGGCAGGGGGTTGGAGTAGAAGACCTCCAAGGTCCCTTCCAACCCTGTGTTTCCCTGAAAATAAGACCCTGTCTTATATATTTTTTTGCCACCATAAAAAGGCACCAGGTCTTATTTTGGGGGGATGTCATCCACTGACTAACCTCACTTGTGCATGTTGTTCCCAATCTTTTCGCTGTCAGAGGCTTTCAGCAATTTCTTCTGAGGATGGCAAAGCTTTCCGAAAGGCCTCTGCAGCCGATAACCAAGCTCTGGATCAACCCGAAGCTTTCTTATCAGCTACAGAGGCCTTCAGGAAAGCCTTGCCAGCCTTGCCGGTTGCAGAAGAAATGGGCCGGCAAGGCAGATGTCGGGGTTTGCAAGGCCTGGTTACAACTGTCCAAAGGTAAGTAATAGGGCAGCTCCACCCCCTCCCATCCCCACCCTAGCTTAATTTTTACCCATCCACTCTGGGGTGGACAGGATCTTAATTAGGGCTTATTTTGGAGATAGGGCTTATATTGGACGCACGTGTAAAAACCAAGCTAGGACTTACTTTCAGGGTAGGTCGTATTTTCGGGGAAACGGTATTGCAGCAAATGAAGGTTGCAGTTTTAATGAGATAAAAGTGCATAACCTTATACATTTATACCGCCTTGATTTGATATCAGTGATGACTGCCTGAGCCACTTGCCCCTCTGTATTTCATAACCTTGAACCATCTACCTCCATGTTGCCTATTCAGTGAGAGGTGCACAATATGTTAAGTGATAATGGGATTACAGTAATATTAGCTCAGTGTGTTGTATAAACGCAGCCAACATGATTTGCAATCACTGGTTTATAGATTAGTTTGATATACGTCTTATTTATCACTCAACAAATTAACAGAGGGATACAATCAAGATCAAGGGAGGTACTAATACCGCTCTATAAAGCCTTAGTAAGTCCACACCTAGAGTACTGCATCCAATTTTGGTCACTACACTATAAAAAAGATGTTGAGACTCTAGAAAGAGTGCAGAGAAGAGCAACCAGGATGATTAGGGGACTGGAGACTAAAACATATGAAAAATGGTTACAAGAACTGGGCATGGCAAGTCTAATGAAGAGAAGGACCAGGGGAGACATGATAGCAGTCTTCCAATATTTGAAGGGCTGCCACAGGGCGGGGTGTTTGTGTGTCAAGCTACTTCCCAAAGCTCCCGAAGGCCAGACAAGGAATAATGGATGGAAACTGAACAAGGAGAGATTCAGTTTGGAAATAAGTAGACATTTTTTGACAGCGAGAGCAATCAACCAATGGAACAGAAGTTGCCTTTGGAAGTTGTGGGAGCTTCCTCAGCTTTCAAGAAGAGACTGGACTGCCACCTCTCAGAAATGGTGTAGGGTCTTCTGCTTGGGGGGGGGGGGGGTTGAACTAGATGACTTACAAGGTCTCTTCCAACTTTGTTACTGTTAAAAAAACCATTATAAAAAGGGTTAGAAGAGGCAAGCAATCTTTTTATGCAAATAGGGTCATTTTTTCTTGCTGATATTTTCATTTCATTTTTTAAATTTTTTTATTTTGCAGGTGTCCTTGTGGTGGTGGGGAAGGTATTCACCATACTTAGGCATTTTAGCAGATACTTAGCACACCGATTTTCTCACAAAAAGGAACAAAGCCACATCTCTAAAAATAACAATGTGCTTCAGGGGTTGGAAAAACTGTACAGTGTGTCACAATTCACAGGTTACTCATTCTGGCTTAGAACAAAGCGTGTATTTCCCCCCCACCCCACCCCCAGTTTACAAATAGGCTGTCCTATCCTGCACCATTTCTCTTTTCAAATAATGTCTAATTGCCCATAGGGTTGTCTATGTATTTATTTGTTGATCCATCAGTTCAATCTAGAAGAATTGGGTTGTCCTCCTGGACTCACAACTCTTGCTGGAAAAAGCAGGTGGCAGCCATGGCCAGCCAAACTTTGTGTTATGCACTGGTTGTGCCTATTCCTGGTTACCCGTGCCTTAGTTATCTCCTACATAGATTACTGCAATGGACTCTACATGACGCTGTCCTTCAAGAGTATTTGAAAGCTTCGGCTGACAGTATGGGCAAGGCCGTTTCTTGATCTTAGTTGTATTAACTGGGGTGTTCTCCACTGCTCAATTATTTTATGTTATCTCTGACATTTTAAACTTGTTTTTATTACGTTTTTTTAACAGTTAGCCAACTGACAGAATAGCAGAGTTGGAAGGTACCTTGGAGGTCTTCTAGTCCAACCCCTTGCTCAAGTAGGAGACCCAACACCATTCCAGACAAGTGACTGTCCAGTCTTATCTTAAAAGCTTCCAGTGATGGAGCACTCACGACTTCTGAAGTCAAGCTGTTGCACTGGTTAATTGTTCTCACTGTTAGGATATTTATCCTGCGTTGTAGGTTGGATCTCTCTTTGATTAGTTTCCATCCATTGCTTCGTTTTCCTTCTCTGGTGCTTTGGAAAATAGACTGATCCCCTTATCTTTGTGGCAGCCCTTCAAATATTGGAACGTCGGCATCATGTTACCCCTAGTCCTTCTTTTTTCTAGAACTAAAACTATTTTCAAGTAAAGATAAAAAAAATATATAATGAAGGAAAAAGGAAATGATTCTGAGCTGAAAAGATAGGACCTCCTAAGTAAATCCACAAGGCTTTTGGGCAATAAGATGGAAATGGCTTCCTGCTGCTTTCTTCTGGGATGCGTTTTTTTGATTTTCCAGTTTTAATTTCTGACCTTCAGCCTTGGAATTTCCTAGAGGTTGCAGCCAAGGGCTAACCAAACCCTGCTTATGTACAATCCTTGTGACAATTGTGATCAAAATTTCTGTGACAAATCAAGATTGTTATTAAGTGAGTCACACTTGATTTTATGACCTGTTTTGCTGCAGCGATTAAGTCAGTCACAATTATTTAAGCAAATCTGGCTCCCTCCATTGCTTGAGTTGCTTGATGGAAGACAGCTAGAAAGATTGCAAATGGCGATCATGTGACACAAAGACACGACAACAGTTGTAAATATGTGCTGGTTTCCCAAGCACCCAAATTTTGACTATGTGATTGTAGGGAATCCTGCGATGGTTGTAAGGGTGAGGACCGATCATAAGTCACATTTTTCAGCATCATCTTAACTTCAAACAGTTGTGGTAAGGTGGCCTACAGGTGGAATTCTTGCCTCACGATCAAGAGGCTGTGAGTTCAATCCTAGGTAGAGGCAGATATTTCTCTCTCTGGGCACACTGAGAATATATCTGCTGAACAAAACTCCCCATTGGTGACAGGAAGGGCATCCAGCCATTAAAACACTCTGCTAGCTCCATTCAGTTGCCCAGACTCCACCCCACAAGAGATTATGGGGTCATTAAATGAAGAAGATAATGATCTTAACTTCAAACAATTGTGAAAAGAATGGTGGTAAGTCAAGGACTACCTGTATTAGGCCCCAGACAAGGATGATCACATGTTACCACCTGGAGAATAATAATAGGTCAGATCGACTTACGGTTGAATTGCTTACTCTGCTAACAGTAGCTTTGGCTGAACTCAGTCCTTGAGGTCCTGCAGCTGTTTCTATTGTGTGTGCTTCATTCAGTTGCTCCTGGTTATTTCTATTTTTTAAAATGAATCTTGCTGCCAATAGCAGACCTGGAACTCCATCTGGTATCCGAAGGTGAAAGGTTCATCTAACTCATCAATGATTAACTTGCCTTTTTTTTTTTTTTTACAATGTACAAGAGATACAAGCCAAACCAAGAGAACTAAATCAACATTTCCTGTTTCTCCTGTTCATGGTGTTAGGGCTGCTGGTGACAGCCTAAGTGGAAGCAATTAAATCTGGCTAAGGAAAACTGGTATCCTGAGTGCACTAATTCGACAAAGTTTGCTTCTGAAAATAAAACCCCGCTATATAATTAAGTGTGGCAAACATAATAGCTGTACTGTATTAAGATGTCTCTGGGTGATTGCAAAAAGCTAGCAGGAAGTTGAACTCCTTAGGAGCAATAATAGAAACAATAGAATAGAATAGAATAGAATAACAAAATTGGAAGGGACCTTGAAGGTCTTCTAGTCCAACCCCTGGCTTAGGCAGGAAACCCTACACCACTTCAGATAAATGGTTATCCAATCTCTTCTTAAAAACTTCCAGTGTTGGACCACCTACAACTTCTGAAGGCAAGTTGTTCCACTGATTAATTGTTCTGTCAGGAAATTTCTCCTTAGTTAGTTCTAAGGTTGCTTCTCTCCTTGATTAGTTTCCATTCCACCCTTTGCTTCTTGTCCTGTCCTCAGGTGCTTTGGAGAATAGCTTGACTCCTTCTTCTTTGTGGCAGCCCCTGAGATATTGGAAGGCTGCTATCATGTCTCCCCTAGTTCTTCTTTTCATTAAACTAGACATCCCCAGTTCCAGCAACTGTTCTTTATATGTTTTAGCCTCCAGCCCTCTAATCATCTTTGTTGCTCTTCTCTGCACTCTAGAAAGTCTCTCAACATTTTTTTTACATTGTGGCAACCAAAATTGAATGAATATTAGATGGATGTGGAGGAAGCAGCCTTGTGACTGGCTTACAAATATCACAGTTTTTTTGAAACTTGCCCTTTTGAGCTAAAGATCCTGTAGGGCAAGGTCCTTCAAACTTGGCAAGTTTAAGACTTGTGGACTTTAACTCCCAGAATTCCTGAGCTAACATGACTGGAGGAAGAATTCTGGGAGTTGAAGTCTGTAAGCCTTAAAGTTGTCAAGTTTGAAAACCCCTGCAGTAGGGTATGTTTATGGAGAAAAGGAGCAACAGCCAAGCATGTCCCAAGGGTGTTTTTTTTCAAGAGGCAACTGGACTTTCTTGTTTTTCTTTCGAAGACGTTTCGCTTCTCATCCAAGAAGCTTCTTCAGCTCTGACAGGATAGGGGAAATGTTTCAGTCAGAGCTGAAGAAGCTTCTTGGATGAGAAGTGAAATGTCTTCAAAAGAAAAACAAGAAAATCCAGTTGCCTCCTGAAAAAGCACCTTTGGGACAACCATGCCCTGGATGACTGAGAATCTCTACAGACCAACAGCTAATAATTTTAAATGTGGGAACAAGCCAGATAGATTATATAATATATTTAAGCCACAGTGGCTCTCTGATTAGGATGCAGTACTGCAGGCTACTCCTACTGATTGCCGGCTGCCAGAAGTTCAAATCTCAACAGGCTCAAGGTTGACTCAGCCTTCCATCCTTCCGAGATCAGTAAAATGAGGACCCAGATTGTTGCGGGCAAGAGACTGACTCTTTACACTGGGCTATAAAGCTCTGTGAAGCGGTATATAAGTCTAAGTGCTATTGCTATTAAGTTATGATTTGCTTTAACCAAGGCCAGTGCAATAAGCCTTCAACAAATTTGCAGATTACAGTACCCTAAGCTGAATCACAAAGCATACTGTTGCTTATTAGACATGCTTTGGGACTACATTGCATTGAATAAACCAGGGGTCTTCAAACTTGGCAGCTTTATAACTTGTGGACTTCAACTCCCAGAATTCCTCCTCCAGTCATGTTAGCTCAGGAATTCTGGGAGTTGAAGTCCACAAGTCTTAAACTTCCCAAGTTTGAAGGCCCTTGGAATAAACAATTGATAGATTTAGCACATCATAAGCAAACCACAGTGACTACAATACAGGTAGTCCTTGACTTGCAACAGTTCACTTAGTGACCACTCAAAGTTACAATGGCACCAAAAAAGTGACTTGACCGTTTTTCACACTTACAATTGTTGCAGCATCCCCATGATTGTGCAATCCCAAATTCAGACACTTGACAACTGACTTGTATTTATGCAATGTGCTGGGATCATTTGAGACCTTCTGACAAAGCCAAGTCGATGGGGAAGCCAGATTCGTTCAACAACGATGACCAACAACAACTGCAATAATCACTTAACAACAGTGGCAAGAAAGCTTGTAAAATGGGGCAAAAATTCACTTAACAAACCTTTCACTTTGCAACAGAAGCGTTGGGTTCAACTGGGGTCATAGGTTGAGGACTTACCTGTACTCTTAAGCCCACACTGAAGAGAATCTACTACATTTTATGTGTGTGCTAAACAGAATTGGAAAGCCTGCTGTCAACTCATAAAATATTTCTATGGTCTTTTTAGAGTTGCCAACAGAAAGGGAGGGGGGAGCAGTGCGACAGCCTGTAACCAAAACTGCATGCCATAAATGTTTTCAAAGATAGTAACTAGGTGACCGAAGTTTCTGCCTCGCAAAATTCTAACTGGAGAGCATGATTGATGACTCTTGGCTATGGATGAGTCCCATTGGAGAATATGAATTATGATACACCCAGGGGGTGGGGAAAAACCAGGATCAAGGGTGACAATGAAAGATGTGTCTCAAGAGTCGGCTACACCCAGGCAATGCCGAAACTTTTAACTCCCAATGGAGGCAGGAAAGACTTTAGTACCTGTAGATGGAAGATGCTGGGCAGCGAAGGTGAGCAGTGGCTTTTTCTTGAGGGTGGTAGTTGGTAAAGACCAGGAATGGTACCCAGTTGGGCTCCTCTTGGCTAGCATATCTGTCACAGGGCATTTGACAGTTTTCTATTCTCAGCTCTGGTACCCGTTGTGGCAACATCAAATACTTCTGCCTAGCCATCCCACAAGGAAATGGCATTTCCTCCTCAGAGTCCATCGTAGTCAGCTGGGCATAGCAAAACCCCACTCGCTTACGTTCCCCGGGGCGGCCACAGCGATCGCAAGGCTGCCAAGGGCTCCAGGAGGTGAACAGGGTGGCCTGGGCTCCCTTGCCGAGCTGCACCGTAGCGTTGCCCAAGGGGGTCTCTCCCAGGCCTACATGGGATACATGGAGATGCCCGGCGTCCTGGAAGTCAACCTCATAATAGCCAAAGATGGCATCTCCTGCACGGCAGGTGTACAAACCAGAATCTTCTATGCGGGGACTTGGGATATAAAGGTTGCTGGCGATCAGTCGGGATTTGAAACGTAGTCTCTGCAACTTGTCATGGCTAAACAGGGGCCAGGAAGTCCCGCCTGACTGTAAGAAGGTGAGGGGTTGCTCATCGGTCCAAGATGGGTCGAGGTATTGCCAAGTGATGGAACCTCTGTAGGAAGAGTGCGGGCAACGCAGGATCACAGGGTTATCGGCGATAAATGCTAACACGCAAGGCTGGCCAGGGAGACATGGCCGGCCCAGAGAGTGGCCTTCATAATGGATACCTTCAGAGATGGTTAAGGATAGACCCAGAACCAAAGCCAATAAGGGTGCCCAACAGGACATGGCAAGCTGGGTACTGGCCTATTAAGGAAACCCAGGGCAGGAAAAAAAAACCCAGCTGTGACACCATTCCTGATGTCATAATAAGCAGAACAATGCTGCTGATAAAACTGACCTTGTTCTGGAAGACTGGATACCCACCCAGATATAGTTTAGCAGTAGCACTTTATATACTGCTTTACAGTACTTTACAGAGCCCCCTCTTAGCAGTTTTAGAGTCAGTCTATTGCCCCCAACAGTTTGACTCCTCATTTTACCCACCTTGGAAGAATGGAAGGCTGAGTCAACCTTGAGCCTGGGGGGAGATTCGAACTGCCAAATTTGCAGGCAGCTGGCAGTCCACAGAAGTAGCCAGCAGTACTGCACTCTAACTACTGCGCCACCGTGTATCTTGTATTGATTTAGCATCATGGATAAAAAATACATATACATACTTAAAATTTAGTGGCAATTTTATTTCCTTTTCAATATTTTACTGTATACAATGTATCTCCCGCTAGGCAAATTAACAAGACCGCTTTATATTATTATTTTAAAAACCCAATTGCGTATCAAATAAAAGTTTATAAGCTACTTTTTAAAAAAAATCATGTAGAAAACGATATATTAAAAAAAACAGGTAATAGGAAACATAAAAGTAATAACAATGAATAAATAACCAGCAGAGATGTTTTCATTTTTTCTGCAATTTCTATTCCAGCCTCTGTTAAAAGTGATCAGTAACATAGCCAGACCAACAGCCTTTCTTTCTTTCTTTCTTTCTTTCTTTTTTCTTTCTTTCTTTCTTTCTTTCTTTCTTTCTTCCTTCCTTCCTTCCTTCCTTCCTTCCTTCCTTCCTTCCTTCCTAAATCAAAACTCGTAAACTTTCACCTTTCCTGGTATTTGAAAGTTGTGTTTTTCCCTCTTAGGCAGTACCTGGACGAGTTCATTTTTCCTTGGGAAGGGGAGCAGAGAGGGACTTCGCAAAGTTTCCCTTCACTCTCCTCCACCCTCTCTTTTCCCAAATAGTTTGGCTCCTCAATACATTCAAAGAACGCCTTGAGGCTTTACCATCGTCCCGGGGGGGAGGGAGGAGGTGGAGAAAGGGAATACCCGAAGGCTGACCTTCGTTCTTACTTTTCCTCCCCTCATTATTCAGCTCGCCTTTAAAAAAGTGAAGTCGAGGCCAAGAAACGAGTGAGTCTGTTTCCTAAAAACAAACAAACAAACAAAAAAAAACTTCCCGTGAGTAAGCCTCGGCGGGAGGCTCCCCGCTTCCCTGAAGGAGTTGGTAGTTTCCGTTCCTTGGGCGAGGTTGCCTCTTGCGAGGGCAGCACCTGTTGGCGCGCACGGACAGAGACGCGGCGGTGCTGGGCACCATCGGAGGCGAGGCGAAGCGGAGCGAGCTGTGCGGAGTCCCGCTAAAGAGTTCAGAGGGCGAAGCGGGCTTGGAAACGAACGCGTCTGGGAGCAATTTACACCCCCAGCCCTCCTTCCCTCTTTCCCGGCTCGAAGTCCGTACAAAGGTTGGGAAATGGAGACCTGGAGGACGCGTCGACTAGCCGCCGCGCTGCCCCTGTTGTGGTTCTTGGGCACCGCCTGGATTTTAGGTGAGCGAGTGAGAGGAATGAGGTTGGAGGGTTGAGGGGGTAAGAAAATTCCCACTCGTTCCCCGACGACATGACCTCACCATCCCCTTTGCCCCTCCGCCCGCCTCTGAGGGGAGACTCCTGGGGGGGACCCCTTCTTTAGGGCGCTGGGGAGAGGGAGACTCGAGAGCTGATTGGACGATCGCCAAGCGCCCTCCGCCAATCACCTTCTCCCGCGCGGACTTCGCCGTGGGGGGGTTGACGACCCGAAAGGGTCGCGCTTCCTTTCCAAGCCCCCCCCCCCCCCGTTCCCCCATTAACACCGGCGGTGAGATCTTGCTCGGATCCCCGGGTCGATTTAATGGAGCGTCGGAGGAAACAGCGCTTTTCTGGGCAAAACAAATCCGCACCTGTTGAGTTGCGCGCAGGCAACCTGCAGAATTGGGATTCCGAATGAACCCACTTTCTACAGTTAAAACATCCCAAGGGGGCTGTATACAGGTCGGCCTCGACTTAACAACAGTCCGTTTAGTGACCGTTCGAAGTTGCAAAGGCACTGCAAGAAAGTGACTCAGGGCCGTTTTCCAGAGGCAATGACCTTTGAGCCATCCCCACGGTCATGTGATTGAAATTCGGATGCTTGGCAACTAGTTCATATTTATGACAGTTAACGATGTCCCGGGGTCACGTGATCACTTTTGGGGACCTTCTGACGAGCAAACTCAACGGGGGTAGCCAGATTCACTTAACCTCCGTGATTATAGTAAGTTATCGACTGCAGTGATTCACTTCCCAGCTGCGGCAAGAAAGGTCTGCAAAACTCACTCAACAAATGTCCCACTTAGCAATAGAAATGTGGAGGGGGGGCTTCATTGTGGTCATAAGTCAAGTACTCCCTGTACACGAAAAGGGGGCTTTTAAAAACAAAAACAAAAAATCCAGTCTAATTTCCCTAATTTATAAAATACCTTTTTCCTTTTAATAGCCGAATTTAGTCCATTTATATTGATAGAAATCAGTTTCTTTTCCTCTTCCATGGTTTATACCTTATAGTTGGGATTTATTGCTCTTGTTCTTTTCTCTCTTGGTTCTTTAATTATCATTTGGCCACCTAGTGATATATGTGATATAAAATATTGAATAGAATGATTATAAACATATATAAGTAAAATATGTATGATAATGGTATTATGTGCACAAAGAAATGTGTACCCAACTGACACACTGATGAACAGAAAGGTTTTATTTGTTTGTTTTTGTTGTTATAAAAATAAAAAAAATATTTAAAAAAATCCAGTCTGCGAAACGCATTTAAAATGAACTCGGTTAAAAATGCAATTTTGTTAACGGACGTGGCTAAGGGAACATAGGTGTAGTTAATTGTTCTCGTGGGCGTTATGATGATGCGGTCATACAAAGGCTGTAATGGGCTCGGTGTGGAGACCTAGGACTGCAGTTGGTGTTTTTGTGAATGTGCATTTGCACATTCACACCTACATTGTGTATGTGTGTTTTGTTAGATTGATAATCCTCCTTTCCACCAGAAGTATATCTAATGCTTCCTCCAGTTTATCTCTGCAAAGTATGTTGGGCTGAAGGACAGGGACCAGTACAAAGACACACAGTGGGTTCCTGTGGTCGAGAGTGGACTTCAGTCTGGGCTTCCTCAGCCCCTTAATCACTACAAACCAACCATACTGGCTGCTACTGGTGATAAAAAAATGTTTTCTTCCCACTCCTCCCCGAGCCCTTCTTTTCTGACTGAAGGTAGGGTTCCTTTTCACAAGGACAATGTCCTTGGCTCTTCTCAGTTCAAGGTTTCTTAGCATATACTGTTACCTGGCTCATAGCCCAAAGAAAAGAGGAAAATGCCTCCCCCCCCCCATTTTGCTTTTCCTGTTCGTCACTTGCCTTTGTCTTGCCTGCTGGAAGGAACAAAGAGTAGACCCTCCAGGGGAAGGAAATGGAGTAGTTTGAAGAAGCAATGGCTTTTTCCCCCCGTGTGCATCCTTGTACCAGTGAACATTAAATGTTTTCAAATTCAACTGGGGTCAGAAAGTATAGCTGCGAGGTTTTCCAGTTAGAGCCCAAAATATAGCTTCTCTGCGATATCCAGTGTTTGGGGTATTTGCACAAATCCTGAGGCTACCATAAGAGTATCTGTACAGTAAGATCCTTAAAAAGCATTTGAAATGCAAGCCAAAATATTTTGAAGCCAAAATAATTCCCCCTTTTCATTGGTCAGGTTGTTTTTTACATCCTATGTGATCAACACATGGCCGGGTGTGTGGTGTTTGGCATATTGTCATCTTCCTGAAAGATAAACATACGATCCATGGAAGGGAAGAGTTAACCAGCTCCTAACCCTTAATCCCGCTGAAAAGTGGGGCGTGTTTCAGGAAGAATCAAGGAACTTTTGGTTTCTGTGGCAAGATCTATCATGTGTTTGTTTAAACCTGTAGGTGTGCCTTATTAGACTTTTCTTCCTGGAAGGCTGATGACTGATCCAGACTGGAGCTGCGGTTGTCACACACATACACACATCGAAACTGCAGGTCCTTTGTGGGAGGAAACTGATCTTAGGACCAACCTCTTTTCAGGCTGGAATGAAACCACAAAAACAAAAAGAGTGGGGAAGGCTATGAGCACAAGATATTCCTGGTGTTAGACTTGCTTTGTCAGAACAAAACTTAGAAAGTAGAAAAGCGAAAAGGGTTTTCTTTTTGAACAGTTGAAAAGAAAAGAAAAACTAATGTAAAAATAAACCTTGCCATTATTATGCCATTATTTTGTGTCAAACTTTATTTACACTTGTCCATAATTGTGAGTTAGATAAGGGGTCTCCAATCTTAGCAACTTTAAGACTTGTGGACTTCAATTCCCAGAATTCCTCCTCCAGCCATGTTAGCTCAGGAATTCTGGGAGTTGAAGTCCGCAAGTCTTAAAGTTGCCAAGGATGGAGAACCCCTGAGATGGTCAATACCAGAGGTGGTATTCAGCAGGTTCTGACCAGTTCTGGAGAACCGGTAGTGGAAATTTTGAGTAGTTCAGAGAACTGGCAAATACCACCTCTGAGTGGCCCCACCCCCATCTCTTCTCTGCCTCCCGAGTCCCAGCTGATCGGCTGGGTCTTCTTTGGTTGGCCTGCACAGGAGAACAGAACTGGAAAGCAGGTTAGTGGGATGGGGAAGGAATGGGATTTTGCAGTATCTTTCCCCTGTCACACCCACCAAGCCACGTCCACAGAATGGTAGTAAAAAATTTTGAATCTCACCACTGGTCAACACATACCTGTGCTGTGGAGGGCTTGAATGGGTAAGTTGTAGGTTGCAGATGGTTGCAAACTGATGTACACGTTTCCCAAATCTCAACCCCATGTTTTGTGGAGATGTGAATGCTGCACGTTTATTGGCTGATTTGACATCCTGTTAGGAGCAGGGAAGAAGGCCAGGATTATTCAAAACCTTCATAAGTTATGGACAACTTATAAGTTCTAAATTGGATGAATAAGTTACGTCCAATTTATATGGCATAATGGAATGGCTGGAAATTTATACGGTCCTGAAATAATGCTTTTGACAGGCCCTAGGAAACTTGAAACAGAAGATAAGCCAGCTTTGGCTGTCTTGCCCTGTAATATTTGGAAGGAGGAATGCTGTAGAAAGAAAGTGTGTTAGCATGTAAGGATGTTATATTTACTCACTGTTCCCTTCCATCTGCTCCAATCTACAGATTCTGCCATCGCAATACAGGTCAGTGTGCTGAACCCTTTCAACGTAGCCATCTTATTTCAACCTGTGACTCTACAATGCAACTACCAGACTTCAGCAACTCAGCCTCCTATTGTCTTGTGGAAATACAAATCTTACTGCCGAAGCCGTATAGCTGATGCCTTTAATCCCGGTAGCCAGGAGAGCCAGCTCAACAACCAGCTACAAACGAACAATCCAGGATATAACCCTTATGTGGAATGTCAAGACAATTCCAGGACTGTTCGTGTTGTGGCCACCAAGCAAGGCAATACAGTGACCCTGGGGGAATTCTACCAGGGCCGGCGCATTACGATCACAAATGGTACGTAAAAGGACACCAACATTCTGGCTCACAGTCTATCGCATAGTCATTGTTGTTGGTGAAGACAGTGTTCTGTCTTAGGCCTCCCCAAAAAGCACTAAGTCAATTCTGAGTCCCGGCAAAAACCTCTTTTATTACATTAATGTGAATTTATTTCATTCACAAGTCAGCCAACGGCTTGGCAAACAGTCTTGCAAAGGTATACTAATGAGCTCAGACCTTTATCAATCCTGGAACGCTGCCCGGTAAATAGTTCCACACTCACTGCTGGCAGGGAAGAGCTGGGTTTTATACAGACAAATCTCCACAAGGCTGGAACAAACAAACAAACAAATGAATGAGCGAGTTATTTCCTGCAAAAAAAGCCCTCCCCTTTTGCTTCTCTTTTAATCCTGATGGGAGGGGCCATTCATCGTCCACCTGTGGCCTTACTCCCACATCGACCCTGAGTTCTTAATTGTGCCTGCATTTTGGCAGCTCTGCACATGTGCAGGCTGGGAACTGGTTCCAGAAACTCCCCCGCCTCACTTCTATCCAAGCCCGAAGGCAGCTGATGACTGCCAGCCTGCCCTGGCCCAATCTCTGCCTCTGATGCAGAGCCCTTGTCCCAGCCTTCTTCAGCCTCCAGGAATGGCCCGGGTTCCTTCCCAACCTTCTCACTACTGTGTGACTCTGCTGCCAGCTACCGGCGGGCCACAACAGAGAGAATAAACAAGAATGCCAGGTGGCAGATTTAGGAAAGTTGTTTTTTTAAAACATAGTCCATTACTAATACAGGTGTAGGTAGGTGAGTGAGCATATTTGTGTAAGCTGTGCAGTTGTCTGCGTTTACCAATCCCAGCTGAAGTTAAAGTCATCTTAGCCTGCAGAAGGCTGTGTAGAAAGACATGCTTTGAGAAATGGATGTATTGCTATAATTTGCCTTATGTTACAAATTGTCATAAATCTTTTTTAAGAGGTTAAGACTTTGTAGCTACGGGGCTTATTTTTTTGTAGCATGAATCCAGAATTCTGGCTTATTGTGACATGTAACCAGTCAGTGTTATTGGCTGAGTCAGGTTGTGGTCCTGGTTTTTTTTAACTCTGTTTGTTACCAACCATTCTGTTTTCTTAATAGTGGTATCCTTTCCTCCCCATTTCCAGGTGGATAGGGTGATATTTGCTTCTTTTCACTATTTTAAGCACTAATGTTACAAGAATTAACTACAGGATTTTGCTGAAAAAAGACATAAATGCATTCCTGAGGGTTTGAACTTTGAGATCTCCTTGAATTCAGAGACCTTTCAACAATGAAACTGTGAATGAATATAGAGTAAAAGTATTAAAAAATTCTACATTGAAATAACTACTGTTAACACTAAAAACGCTGAGTAAAACTTGCTTTATGAATAATAGACCTTCAACTGATTGGTCCAATCTTCTGTTGGGGATATAAACTTTTGTTATTTTATTAGTTTTAATGCTTTTCAGCTTTTTTTTTTTTAAATAATCCATCTAGATTGCAATACCCAGATGAACATGAAAAACTAAGGAAATTTGAACCTGGTTAGTATTTAAGTGGTAGATCAGAATCTATAGGCTAGATTGGGAAGTGAAGCCTACACCCTGATTTCTACAAAAAGGCAATTGTAAACCTTTGCAGCCAGGAAAATTATATTACAAAATTATATGAAGGAGTCTTTGAAAAATAGAATGCTGTAGATCCCTTCAGCACAGAATAGAAAGCTGGCAAAATACCAGAATTTTTTTTTCATTCCTCTTTAAAGAACAAAGAAAGTTAGGTGTGGCCAGATTCCATAACTTCCCTCATGCCCTGGTTTCCTTTGGAGAAGAATAAGTTTACATGTATTGGAATGCAAGGAGCAACTTTCAACAGAGAAATCTTACTTTCACTCTAAAGTGTAATAACCATTGTAAACTTTTTTAGAAAATGTATTTCTAAATAAGTGGAGAGAAATGTTTTAGTTTCAGCCTACATGGCCTCAAGCTATAGATCTTTGTCTAATGTGTGGTTTCTCAATTTTATCAACTTTAAGAAAGGTGGACTTCAACTCTCAGAATTCTGGGAGTTGAGGTCCACACATTTTAAAGTTGCTTGAACAATACCATGTATTCCGTGACAAGATAACATGGTAACCTCCAGATGTTTTGCACCAGTTATCTGGTCAGCCATAATGTGGGCAATAAAGAGAAACTGTTCTTGTTATTCAATCTATTAATCTGCAGTCTTAAAAATGTTGCAGTTCCAAATATACGGAATGACTTATTAGTTAACAACTCTGCGCTTGTGCTATGAATATTTCAGTTTCCTACAGCTGGAACTAAACTTAAGTACTTTGTTGTAATCTTTTTGCAATTTACTCCATCGAAATCCTTTTCTATTTTTCTCTTGTGTGTTGTGTGTCAGAAAACCACTGCCAGCCTCTGAATATTACTTCATTTTTAATGTGGGTGTTGTTTTTCATAACTATAGCAAGGACCTAAAGGGAAGTTAAAAACAAGAATGAACAATACTGATGAATTTAGCAGGTCTAAAGTCCATGGCAATAACCCACAGCCTGTGATAACATGTTCTAAAACAAGCACCAATGGTCAGTTTTAGAAATGCTACATGTTTTTATCTCATTTACTGCATGACCCCTGTCTCCAAAATCCTAGTGTAATCAACAAGAGCTTTTCTTTCAAGTTCTAGCAACATTAGACTCATGCTATGACTGTTCCATTTCGATGTTTTCTGTTTTTGTTGTACAGGATATTTGTTAATGTTGTTTATTCTCCTTGTTTATATTCTTTTTCTACTCTTGTCAAAACAGATTCTGGTGTGCACAACACGGAAAATCAGGTTGAAGTCTAGGGGGCATGCAATATTCATATTTTAAAAGCAGCTATCTTATAATACACAGTATATGTTTCTTTGCTGATGACATTCACGCTGTTAAGCAGGCATGGGGGTTTCCTTATTAGAAGTTATTCAGCCAGCATTAATCTGGTTTTTTTTTTGGCTTTGCTACGGAATTTTAATTGTTAGGGCGATTAAAGTCTTGCTCAAAGTTTTATTCTTAGTAAGAAAAATGGAAATAAGTTTTAAGTAGTAGAGCAAGAATACATAGTAAACATTCCCCCTGGGTTTTGAAAACAATGACCTATCTCTGTTTCTACACATCCTCCATGATTGCATGAAGTAGAAATTGTATTGAATGAGAAGTAAGAACTGACGGTAACTTTTAGGCTAGAGCAGTATTTCCCAACCCTGGAAACTTTACATTGTGTAGACTTCAGTTCCCAGAATTCTACAGTCAGCATGCTGGTTAGGGAATTCTGGGAGTTGAAATCCGGACATCTTAAATTTGCTATGGTTCAGAAACAAAGAGTTGTGGGAATAATGTTTTGAATGCCTCTTTGCAGAAAGTAAGTATTATACGACCAGAAAACTAGCATGCATACATTCTGTTTTATGTTCGGTAGGGGTTTCACCTCCTCCTCCTCCTCCTCCTCCTCCTCCTCCTCCTCCTCCTCCTCCTCGTGCACTAGGAAGGGGGAGACCCAGGTTTCAGTTCTCCCCCAGCCATGGAAGCCAGTTGAATAAGTTGGAGCCTATGACTTTCTCTCAGCCCCCAAGTGGGAGGTTAAAAAACATCTCCCTGCAAATCTATATTGGTCCAGGGTGGTAGATCACGGTCAATTCCTTTCAGTGAAGAGGACTTCTTCATGCAATGGCTTGATTCAGGCTGATATAACATCAAAACCAACATTGGCAGGTATTCTTCCATGCTGATATTTAAAGCAATTTGAAACATTACAAACTTCAGCCTACAGAATTCAACCTTACTGGCAATGCTGATGGGTTTGTTTGTTTGTTTGTTTGTTTGTTTGTTTATTTATTTATAATAAGGCTGTCACCCCACGGGAAAATTTAAATTATAGAGCAGGGTGCTGTCCTGAACAAAACTGCTGAATCTGTGAAGGTGCCTTTCAGACATATAATTTATGTCTGAAAGGAGATGTAGAGAACTGGAGCTAATTTGCAGGTTTTATTGCTCTGTTGCTAACAAAATTTATAGGTACAGCAAGCCTTCCTGCAGATGCTTGGAAGATCGTGAATTGGATAGATCCGTTTGTTCAGTTACAGATTGTTCAGTTACAGATTCGGCAGTGGAATCTCAGGTCGCAAACACTTCTGTTCGTGTCCAAATTGGGTTCCTACCAAAAAATCCACCTGATTTTTGAATCGAGTCACGATTCAAAAATTGGGTGGTGAACAAAACCAGCCGCAGTAGATTCCCTTTCTGCACAGATTTCCCCTTCCGCACATGCGCAGTCCATGCAGATTTTGTCTGCGCATGCGCAGTCGGTCGTGCTTCTGGTCATGACCAAATCTGGTTGCAACCATACTCCTGGAACGGATTACGGGCGCGACCCGAGGTTCCACTGTATGACCTTTCTAGCAGTTTCTAGCAGTTATTGCAGGGGTGTCAAACTCAAGGCCCGCGGGCCATGGGGTGCTTAAATCCGGCCCGCGGTGCCAGCCTGGGAATAGCAAAAGACTGGCCCGCAGTGCCTCTGGCAGCCAAAACGGGGTGCGGGGGGGGGCTGTTTTGGCCAGCAAAGTGTTTCAGGAGGCCATCCAGGCCAAAAAGAGGCTGCATTGGGGCTGCACGCCCCCCCCACGCCCCATTTTGGCTGGCAAAGTGCTGCAGGAGTCCATCCAGGCCGTCTCCCCCCGACTGGCCTGCAGAGAACTACAATGCTGATCTGGCCCTCGAAGAAATCCAGTTTGACACCCCTGTGTTATTGTGTCTGTTCCTGAGACTGTGGCGTGTTTTGTGCACCACCTTCCTTAGTCTCCTTCCTGAAACATTTTGTAAGGGGTTCCATAACTTCACCACGGTTGCAAATATTTCTTGCTCTGCATCAGCCTTGCTGATGAATTGGACTGCAGTTCTGATCAGCCCCTGGCACGTTGTCCCTGTTTACACCCAGACATATAGATTTACTTGGGG